GTATGCAATCTTTCACTCTATATTTTTTTGTCCTATCTCCTTTAAGTTCATTATTCAATGGATGGCTTCGCTGATCAAGTGATGTGTCAGGACACATGACAAGATGAATAACGTCTTGTCAAAAATGTGTTTGGTGATGTTCTTCTCTCTAGGTTCATCTGTTGTGATAAGTTACTACTGTCCAAAGCTATTGCTTCTTCATTTTGAAGTTCATAAAGAGCAGCTAAGACTTAGTTCTGCAGAAATCATTTTGTTAACTCCCTGCTTTTCTGGCCCTAAAAACATTCTTCATTCAGCTTGCACTTACATTAGTAGTGACAGTTTGGCATTTGACTTCTTTCTGGAGAATTAGCAAGCTCTTTTTTTCCTTTTAAGCTTGGCAGGAACTTCCTGAGTGGCTGAACCACTACTTATGACTACTGAATGGTGAATGTCTCCTCTAAATAATATTTAATCTAGTCCTGACTCTCTATTTAGAAGGAGGAGACGATCTAATTTGTCTCGTACCTGATGATGAAGCAATCCTATCTGTCTGTTAATAACTTCTAGACGATCCTGCTATTCCATAATCATCTAGCAATAGAAGCATAAACTGGTTTTTGGCAAGTTGCAGGGATCGGGTTGAGTCAGCAGAATGATGGTCAACATATACGTTCCTGCTTTATCACAAAATAGGAAAAAGGATGTATCGTGTCTGGTGCTAATACATTTTTCAGTAAAACTTTCAGATATAATGGATGGTAGTTAGCTGTTGCAGATTTAGGGATTTCCTCTCTTCATTCTTGTAGTGGAGACATAATTTTGGTTCTAATTGTAGGGGAAATATCGATACTATTCCTTTTCTTGGGGACTTTCAGTTAAGTATATCTACAATTGGAGACCAAATGCTAAAGAATATAGGTTTCCATCTCTCAATAAAATTACTGGTCAGGAGTCTCTAGTGTTGTTGACGAACGACAAATTAAGTGCAAATCTGATTTCTCTATAATTAAGCCAGATAAAGTCACTTTTTGAGAGTGGATATGCTCTGGAGGACTAATTGCTCTGCATATCTTGTTGGTGCTTATTGTCTGCTAATGCGGAACCTCTCTTTAGTGATCAATCTGTGCTTGTCGTTTCTCACTTGAAAGCATCAATGAATGATCTTATCATGTGCATGGACAAAACCACTTCTTGAATGCAGCTTTTTGGTTTCATGTTTTATGGCCTTCTTCCCTGTGAGATTTCTGAGAGTTTGGAACACTTCCAGGTTGCTGACGAACTTGTTGCTGAGTTTGCTGATCCTGGCAATAGTGCTGCTACCCCTGATCAGGTTTGTGGGTTTTTAAGAAAGATCCTGCAAATGGCTAGGACAATATGACATCTGTCCGATTAAGTTCCTAACTTTGGTGCTTTTTTTTCCTCGCAGCAACAGTACGATGAGAAAAATATAAGACGAAGGGTGTATGATGCCCTGAATGTTCTTATGGCGATGGATATTATATCCAAAGACAAAAAAGAGATACAATGGAAGGGTCTGCCTCGAACTAGCCTAAATGACATTGAGGAACTAAAGGTGTTATACAACTCTGCAAATTTTCTCTGGCAGTGGATTATCTCTGCCCTTTGTTACCCCTAAAATTCTGCCATTGGCTTATCTTGGCCATTTGCTGTCACCATGCAGACAGAGCGTCATGGGTTGAGAAATAGAATTGAAAAGAAAGCAGCCTATTTACAGGAACTGGAGGAACAAGTAAAAGATCTTTCCCCCTCATGTTTTGGTTGGAAATTGGTTTTGCTTCGCTCTATTTTCTGTTTAGTCATCTATACCGATGAGCAGGTTCACTAACATCGTCAACTTTATCTGTTTATACATGAAGTACGTAGGTCTACAGAACTTGATACAGAGAAATGAGCAGCTGTTTAGTACGGGAAATGCTCCAAATGGAGGCATTGCATTACCATTTATTCTGGTTCAGGTGAATGTGCTCATCCCTTGACTCCATTAATTGGCATACATGTGATAGTTGAATACTGAAAGTGTAAATATTCCCCTATGGTGAGATTTCTCAATCTTGTTGGATCCAATGTGATAATATTATCAAAGGTGAAACAAAATAAAGATTCATCATATAAAAAGAAAAAGAAAAAGAAAAAGAAAATTATCTCATCATCTACAAAAAGAGAATAATTGTCTAGAAATTTTAAAATGTGTTTAAGTAGTAACCAAAGTCCAAACAAGATATAGAAACTTCTAATAGGTTAATGAAGTCTTGAAGGATGCATCACGTCCCATCTAGTTATTTTGCAGTTGGAATGCCTGTGAAGGAGATTCAATTTCTTAAAAAGTCTTGGAGTGCTGCACTGCCTTGTCTTATAGTACATTCTCTGGCATGATTAGATTTGTTTGATAGATGGGCTGTGTAAAAGAGAGTTTGTGACCTGTCACTTCATAGCTGATGAATGGAATGGTTTTTTTATGTTATTCAAATCAATTTTAGTCATATTGCTTACCAGAGATAAATTCTAGATGACCTTAATGGATGAATAGGTCAAGTTCAAAGAATGTCACTCTGGGTCTATATGGAATAAGTTTTTTATGCAAGCCCTGTTAGGTGGGAGTTCCTTGATTGCTATGCCTTCTGAACCTCCAGATTTGATTGAGTTGGATGAACTCTAAAGCACCTTTTTTTTTCCCTTGCAAATTGCAGACCCGGCCACATGCAACTGTTGAGGTTGAAATATCAGAAGACATGCAGCTTGTGCATTTTGATTTCAACAGGTACAACCATATGAGCAATTTCTTTGGTTTTTTTGTTTTTTTTTATTGCTCAACCAATTGTTCATACCTGCACTAGCAAGCTGCAACTTGATCTGCATAATCACGTAGCGGAGATTTTGACGATTTTAGTTCATTGTACCGGATAATTTTTTAACTAATTTTCCATGCCTCTCCTGGCTAAAAAAATGTTGTGGGTTGATATGAAATCGTCAGAAAGAAGCATCCCATTTTTCTCTCAATTTACCTTTCCTTCAATCATTTTTATGTTCATAAGTTGGATCTTCGTGAAACGCAATGTGCGCCACTACCCCTGCCCTAGTGGCTAGCTGCCAGTTTTAACTTCAATTTTATCACATAATCTCATTTTCCCTTTCAAAAGATGAGGGATGTTATTGAGTAATACCGAACTGAAATGGTGCATTGACCTTATTGCAGCACTCCTTTTGAGCTCCATGATGACAACTATGTCCTCAAGGCGATGAAATTTTGCGAAAGACCGGGAAACGACGAGATGGTGCCTGTGTTTCCTTCTGATGGAGGTGAAGGCTCCAGCATGTCGGGCATGTACCAACCACAGCCTCCATATCCTCCAATGTCCAGCGCAGTGGGTAGGCCACCTGCCTCTCCTCCTATACCAGGAATATTAAAGGCACGCGTCAAGCACGAGCATTGATCATTGATCATCCAAGCCATGGCAATATTTCTCACAATAGCTGTATAGTCTGTAAAGAAAGTGAGCCTTGAAATTAGTCATGTGGTTGCCATAACCCTCTTTCATTAGGAAATGTCGATTAACATAGAGATGGTAACTCACTCGGTCAGGAGATGGTCGAGAGGTTTTGGACCTCTGGCTCGTGTTTTTGTGCCAATGTCAAATTTTTGGTTCTGCAATTTGTTCATGGTTTCCTCCGCTCGATCTGGGGTTCAGAAGGAATCGTCGTTTTGTTCTGTTTTTCTTGAAAGGTGACTGTATAAGATCATTGATCTCTTATATAATCGCACTACAACATTATTTCCGCAATGTCAAAGTCCATGGATGTACATTTTGGATATTAACATTACAAATGTGTAGCGCAAGGTGTATTATCACACATTACAACTCATGAGTGAGCTCGGACGAAAATGAGACGGAGATTGATAAGCTGGATTGTCGAACCCATTGAACTGTTGATCCATCAATTGTTGTAGAAATATCCATCGAACTGTTGATTGTCAATTCTCATTAGAACGAGAGTATATTCCTGGAAATCCAACAGCATAACTTGGGCAGAAAAAGCAGAAAATCTTTTGAGTGTAGGCGGTGAGAAGTGGACAAAATCCTCAGTAGTGTACAAAACCTGTCGCAGCCACGGGGTCTCACGGTCTGATACATGTGGGCGGTCCGATGTGGCGCGAGTGGAGTGGATGACGACAACAGAGCATCACGTGCTTGGCCCATTGCATCACGTGGTGTGGTCACTACTGGAGTAAGGGCAGGGACAATAATAAAATCCCAGCATTGACAAGGAGTGGACGCTAGAAGGACAGTAGTGGTACTGCACCAGTAGCCATTTCTAGGCAAATTCATGATCGATCTTTTATACGCTGATGAGGGAAAAAGAGAAGAAATGGGTTGCACATAAAGAAGCCTGAAGAAGTAGTGAATGATGGAGATGCCTTCAGAAGTTATTCCAGGGAGGACCACAGGGGATGATGCGAAAGGCTACCCTCTCTCTCTCTCTCTCTCTCTCTCTCTCTCTCTCTCTCTGGTGTGTTTGTTGTGCAGTGTGTCGTTACCATGTGGCCATGAATGAATATGAATTGGGAGCAGATAGTCCAAATGGTGTGAGGGTATATAAGAGCACGTGTGTGTGGGATTTGAGAAGCAACGAGCTACTTCGTTTGGGGGTTGGAGAAGGTATTTGGACTAAGCGTGGTCAAGGTGACTGTCATTCGTCTGCATTTGCACCTGCACCTCAGTCACTCACCCAGTTGCTCGCCAAACACCAGAAAATGCTGATGGTGAGTTCCTGTGCAATGCAATCCGAACTGTATTGGGAACCCAGGTGCAGGTGCAGGTCCAGATGAATGCCACTTTGACTCTCTCTCTCTCTCTCTCTCTCTCTCTCTCTCTCTCTCTCTCTCTCTCTCTGTGGTAACATGGGGATCCTAACCTTCGCTTCTGGCTAATCTCGTGAATGCGCGCGAAGCACCATGTCCATGTACATTGAGTAAGGCTCCACTTACAAAGCTTAAGTAGAAGCAGAGATCCGCACATGACATTTGCTGTTTGTAAACCAAGCCCTTACCCAGTAAATCATATTTAAGGGTTGCTGTGGCTCTCAAGGTATAGCATTTGGTAGCGATCTGATTGATTCCATGTGAGGTAAGTCCTCAAAAGGAGTATCGAAGGTGACTTACACATTCTCTCACTTTAGTTCTTAGAAACTCGTGTATTATCAATCTCTCTCTCGAAGTTCAACCATCACATATGTATATCATTAGGTTCTCTTCTGTATTGTTTTCCCATGGTTCTTGGACTAAACTGTCTGTTTGTTGCTAGCTCCTTTGTCCGCTGAAGGATTCTTAAAGTAGAAAAAGCAAGTGCAATGGTTGAAGAAGAGGTCTTTTCTCCAAGGGGTGAAATGCAAGCAAAAGAGGGAAGAAGCAAGCTATAGCGAGAAGGGAGTTATTCAGCATGCTAGTAGAAATAAAATAACAACTAATCATGTGAAACACAGAATTCGATCATGGTTTGATTATGCTTCACACAAAACTGTCATAAAGTGATGAAGCACTGCAAGAACCATCATAAATCCATGTCTGATTAGCTTTCGACTATTAGGATATACATTTTGATGTCACTTAGGACACGATCAGATGATGTTAGAGAGTTTTTCTTTGTAAAGGATTTCAAATATCCTGAATGGGAAGTCTATGCTTCAGTTTGACTAAGTCCATTTTTTGTGTGATGAGTTAAATTTGAATGACATTATTGGAATTGATTTCTTGGTTCTCCCTTGACAAGTGATATTATCTAGTTTGTCCCCTCTCATTTCTTCAACGTCTTTCTCATAGCTAGATTTGTTCAACTATCAGATAAACCTTGCAAGATACACTCTAAATTGAGGGCGAGTTTTCCTCCATCACTGGAACTCTCTCCATCCGGTCTTTTGATTGGTGGTTACAAATCTGAACACTCTTACGCACAACGCATCCAAACTAATTAGGATCACTTAATGGTATCGCAATAATCATTGGTTTATGAAGTTTTGATGCTAGAGTAAGTACCGTTAGTTTAGGGAAAATTTGAAATAAGGCTTGAAGTTTGGCCCCTTTTTTTTTCACAAGAGAGTCCAGAATAGACATTATCTCAAATAAAGCTCTGAAATAACTTATTTAGTCTCAAATAAGGCATCGAGCACACCGGCCAGCTATATTTTCACCAACCAATGAACAAGCACATCTCGAGTGCATCTTACATGCCATTTCATGAGATGCATGAAAGCTACACATAAGGTGCATTTTCTTGCTGGCTAGTGAGCTTGGCAACTTAATTGAGACTAAGTTGGCAACTTTAAAGTCTTATTTGAAATAAGGTCCACTTTCAACCCTTTTTCGAGACAACGAATACGCTTCATATCCTTATTTTAAATTTTGCAGTTAGATTGTCATATATTTTCTACCCTTGGGCTCAACTTTCCCTCTAATTAATGCAGCACACCGTGTGCTCTACCTATTTGCATAATAAAAGTCATAATATTGTTAGTGTAGCAATCTTCTAATATACCATCAATTACACTCAAATAACCCAAGTTGATAGTAAATATTAAAGTGATGTATTTAATTATGAAATGCTGATTTACTGTTATGCTAGCATAACTCCACTCAATTAATAATAATAATAATAATAATAATAATAATAATAAAGTTAATAGTAGTGAAATGATGTATTTAGATTCGAATCATGAATCAAATTGTGAGCTAATCATAAATTAATTTTAAAGTTTGATGTTATTGAGAATCCCCATTATTTTTAGGGTTAATATTACGAAAAACTTCAAACTGGTACACATGTAACAAATTTACCCAAAACTAATTTTTTTACCACCAAAAATCCCAAACTTACACCTGTAACTTATTTACCCTACGTTAATTTTCGTTAAATTTTACAGTCAAATTGTTGAGTTGGATTAGACGTGGCAATTGACTGGTGTACCAATTTGGGGTTCTGCCTTTCATTTGTCACAGGTGTACTAATTTGTGATTTTTCGTGATATTAATCCAATTTAACAGAGCGTAAATTTGTCACAAGTATACCGTTTTGAGATTTTTTATGATCAAAAAATTAGTTCGAGATAAATTTATCACATGTGTACCAGTTTGGGGGTTTTTCGTGGTCAAAAAATTAGTTTTTGATAAAATTATCATAAATGTATTAGTTTGAGATTTTTCGTGGTATTAACCCTTATTTTTAAGTAATTGACACCGTGAGTCATCCAACCAATCAATTTAACTAGGAAAGAGTAGAATATATCAATACAATATATAAATCCACTACAATCAAACCTACATTCACTTGAATTTTCTAGTATAACAGTTAATCAAATATTTATATTAATATAGTATATTACCACTCGAATAAATAGAAAACATTGAATATATGTAAATTATTTTAGAGAATAAAATTCTAAATTTATTTACTCTTGGGAATAGTCATTTTTTAAAACGGTTGAAATGGTGATTTTTCCTTGTAAATCTACTTAATTAATAAAATTTAAATATTTGACCAACAAAAATTTAAATATCAGCATAGAAGTCTAATTGAGTTAAAATCACATTCACTTTATTGAAAGAGAAAAATGAAATAAACACATAAAAATTAAACTCCCGCCTTTCATTATGTTCACCTCTTCATTCTTGGGTCTCATCTATTATACTTGAAAGTTTTAACGCTTTAATAATGTTGCATTTAACCACGGGGGTTGTCTCAACAGCCACCCTTCCCACATGGGAAAGGGGAGATGGTGAATTCGAATCCCCACCTTCTCAGGGGATTGGAGGTGGGGACGTTTAGTTTCAGGTATGGGTTTCGACTCCCACATTCTGCAAAGAGGCAGAACAAAAGTCTGAGAGTAATTTAAAAGTTAGAGTACGACAAGACTAAAAAAAATACAATGTTACATTTAAATTTGCCTTTAATGGATTGTTCCTCTTACAATTCCACAACAAGTACAAAAACAAAATTGATTTGTCTTTTATTGTCAACTGTTTCCATTTCTCTCTCTCTCTCTATATATATATTCATTCATCTGTTAATGTGAGTCCTCCCTACCCTTTTGAAATATAATAAGTCAGATAAATTAAGCCTTTCTCTGTTTGAAATTCCTCGATTTTGGTAATTCTTTTCTTTGCATCAAACATTTCCGACTTACAAATTTAGCGTTTCACAATATATACTTGTACAACACAATACTATGTACGCTTGATCGTTGTTTTTTTGTATGTTCTCTCATTTCTTTGTTCACAATTTGGGCAAATATAGCAAAGTATGTAGGTCATTCGATCGAAAATTTGGCGGCACAAGCTTTGATGATGGTCATTTCAAAGGCCAAAGTTTCGACATTTGATGGTATCATTTATTCCGTTTTTGTATTTGGAGCTTCAAAAATTTGAATAATCAACTTAATTGTTTCTCATTTCAAACTTATTTCTTCCCTTATCTATAATTATGTTATCTATGTAATTTAGCTTTGGTCACAATATCAACCTTGCCCTAAAGTCAATAAAATTGAGTCCAAATGGTCTCGAAAGCCGAAAACCTTAAGGTTGCGTTTGATTGGACTTTTGACGAAATGCAAATGACTTTAAGTTGTAAGGATTTTTTGAAATGCAATTTGTGTTTGTGATATTATAATTTAAAAGTCCATTGTAAAGCAACTTTGGTTTTAATAGTATTTGGAATAATTATTTTTGCAAAGGACTTTTCTTATTTTTTATTAAAAAAAGAAAAAACAAAACTCAAACCCTTCGCCGTCTTCAGCAAAGGGCGCAAGCCGCTTGCAAGCTAGATCTAGCACTGTCAATTGTCGTCTGAGATTGTACAACCTCAGGCGACCCTGCTTGGGGTCATGCAGCCCTCGTCAAGGGCGCGCAACCCTAGGGACACGAATGACAACATTTCTCTTCCTAGGCCCTATTTCTGATTAAAAATTAAAAAATCTATTTCTCTTTCTCAGATGAGTTTTTGAACAAAAAGTACCGTTTGATAACGACACAAAATTTATGTTCTCGGAATAGAAATTCGTTTGATAACGACACAAAATTTCTATTCCCGCCAACCGGTGAGCGGCGGTGGCGGCGGCGGTGGCGGCGGACGGCCAATGAGCGGCGGTGGTAATAGGTGACGGCGGACGATGGTGGGCGGCAAGGGTGAGCAATAAAAGAGAGTTGTTATTTTTGTTTCTGTTCCAGAAATAGAAAAGTAAAAAATTTTAACTTCTTATTTATGTTCCAAATCTATTTCTAGGCCAAAATTTATCACATAAATAAAAAATGAAATTATTTTATCAAACAGATTTCTATTCCAAACCTATTCCCGGGGACAAAAAAATAGAAAAACATGAAAATAGATTAATTATCATTCACGCCCTAGGCGACTATTGTTGGGGTCTTGCGACCCCAACCTCCCCAAGCCGAGGTCATGTGACTGTCGGTGACCACTGTGACTGTCAACTAGCCACACAACTCTCGACGGAGTTTCAACAGCGATCTACATAGAGAAGACGAATAGTTCTTATGAGGGCAAAATCGAAAAATGAAAAACTTGGTGAGGGTAGTTTTGGAAAAAAAATATTAACCTAGGAATAGACCTTCCGAAAATGCTGAAAACCCAAATCCTGCTTTAGGCTTTTCTGTTTTACCTTGACTCGCATTTGGCCAAAAGGGTCTAAAAAAATTTGCCAAACATTCCATGTTTTCCCCAAGGGACCTTGAAGGCCCAAAGTCCCTTGAAAAAGTGGTTCTCAAAGGAAGCCTAAGCAATTGCAAAAGTTTGTACTGACATCTTTTTCATTGTGTTAACCATATATTATTATAATAGGTACCTACAATACTTTCAGACTCGTTTCATATTTTAGTTTAGTATTCATATTGATTGATATTCAATTATATATACAATATATATATATGTGCATATATTACATTATAATATATACACATTTATACCCATTTGTGTCCATTAAATACATCAATACGTTAAGATTTTTTGCTAGCCGTACTATATCATATCTTCCCTTTTCAATAGTAAATTCTTGGCAAAAGTACACCACAAGTGCCATAACTTGTGTACGGCGATCAATTTGGTGCCATAACTTTTTTTCGGATCACTTTGGTGCCAAGTCGGAGGAAAAGAGATCACTTTAGTGCCAATTTGGCCGGAAATCCGACGTGGCATTTTTTATTAATTTTTGACGCCGACGTGGCTCGCCGGAGGCTGAGTCAGCGTGTACAGTCAGCATTTTTTATTTTAAATAATTTTTTTCAGCGTGTACAGTCAGCATTTTTAATTTTAAATATTTTTTTCCTTTTTTCTTCTTTCCTTTTTTTTTCTTTTCTTTTTTTTCTTTTCTCCCATCGCCGGCCGGTCGCCGGTGGCCGGGCGAAGTCCGGGAAGAGCTGGGCAAGGGCGGCCTTGCCCATGGCCTGCGAGGGGCGGCCGACCTCGCCAGCGACAGGCGAGGCCGCCTCAGTGAGGCCGCCCTCGCCCGACGCCGGCGAGGGCCGCCTCGCCCGACGCCGGCGAGGGCCGCCCACGCCCGACGCCGGCGAGGGCTGCCCACGCCCGACGCCGGCGAGGGCGACCCTCGCCCGCCGGCGAGGGCCGCTCGCCCGACGCCGGCGAGGGTCGCTCGCCCGGGCCGACGAGGGGCGGCCGGGCTCGGGCCGGCGAGGGCCGGCCTCGCTTGTCGCCGGTGAGGGTCGGCCGCCCCTCGCCTGCCATGGGCAAGGCCGCCCTCGCCCAGCCCTTCCCGGGCTTCGCCAGTGGCCGGCCGGCCACCAACAACCGGCGGGCGAGGGGAGAAAAGAAAAAAAAGAAAAGAAAAGAAAAAGGAAAAAAGAAAAAAAATATTTAAAATTTAAAATGCTGACTGTACACGCTAAAAAAATTATTTAAAATTAAAAATGCTGACTGTACACGCTAGCTCAGCCTTTGGCGAGCCACGTCGACGTAAAAAATTAATAAAAAATGCCACGTCGGATTTCCGGCCAAATTGGCACTAAAGTGATCTCTTTTTTTCCGACTTGGCACTAAAGTGATCCGAAAAAATGTTATGGTACCAAAGTGATCGCCGTACACAAGTTATGGCATTTGTGGTGTACTTTTGCCGTAAATTCTTTTTCGCGAAATCATGTACTCACCAGACATCTACATAATGCCATACTGCTTTATTGATACACATGTCTTTAATTCGTTAATGACAAAAAATATTAAATTGCTTCATAGAACGATCTTAGAGAATGCACATGAACTTTATATGTTTCTCAGGGACGAGAATGACAAATTCAATGATGATGGTTGCAAGATGTGAACAATACTGGTGCAAGGAATTTATCAGGAAGACAAAATCCATACCGACTACTTTGTTTCTCCCAGTTCTTCGTTGAAGCTAACTCCAAAGAAAACTTCTTTGTTTCTCCCAATTCAATGATATTTGTTGACTTTTCGCAATGTACTGAATGGATGTTCAATGTCAATTCATTTTGTGTACTTGTAGGTACCATTCAATCTCTAGATTATGATTGTTATTGCTACTCTGCAGTAAAAATTTTAATTAACCAGGGTTTATCGTTTTGATAGAGATTATCCGTTGTACAAGAATTTGTCGAATTATAAGGATTAATACTACAAAAACCTCTAAACTATGCCTGATGTAACACCAATTCTCTAAACTTTTTTTTGGATCACTAAAAACTCTAAACTTGTCCATTGTGACACAAACACCTCGAACTTTATATCAGCGTGACAAGCATGTCATGGATGGAACTGTAATAGAAGGTATATATGTCACACACGTATAAGTTTGAGTTTTTTTGTAGCACATAAAAAAGTTGAGGATATTTGTATCACAGTAGGCAAGTTTAGGGTTTTTGGTGGCACAAAAAAAGTTGGGGGTATTTGTGTCACAGTGCGCATTTATTCGTTAGCTCTGTTCAATTTGGTTAATGGAATATACTGATGTGGTTTTTTTTTTTTGTTACTTTCTCGTAACATGTGGTGCAGATGTCATGCCCATCTAGCACCACATCAGGAGCCATAATGACGGTGATGGCGACACCGTGAAGAAGATCTCGTGCAAGGTGCTGAGGAGCCCCATACTACCGGTGAAGATCCAGCGAGTCGAACTCATCGCAGAGTGACGCTGCTCCTCCATTGCCATCGCAATCGACGGTGGTGGCTCGTTTGGTGGGTTGAGCTACTGCATATTTAGCTTTTCATTATTTTTAATTCTTATCTCTTTTTTTTTCTTTTGCCTCCTTTTCTTTTTTCTTTATAATTTTATCCTTTTTCTTCTTTCGTCTTTCTAAATTTTCAAATTTTTTGGATACGACACTTGGTGGGCGCCATGTGTCCTAAGAAATGAGAAAGTCACATCAAAAATCCGTTAATAAATTGGACGGGATTAACGGAGGGATTTTTTTTTTTTTTGGGGTTTATAACGAAGGGACTTGATTGCACCAGTTTAACAACTTTTAAAATATGATTGCACTTTTTGAAAATTTTAGGACTAAATTGCACTTTCACAATAAGTTTAAGATTTTTGATGCACTTATCCCAAAATTAAAAAAATAAAAATGAGAAGAAAAGGAAAGTCTAACCTGAATCTCAAGGAAGATGGCGTGGGCCCAGTTGAAAAGGGGCCTCCCATTGGCCTATCAGCTTTTTATGGGCCAGAAGGCCCATCGTCTTGATTTTGGGCTTTCTTTTGGGCCATCAAGGCCCATCTCCTTGCTTTCGGCCCACCTATCGTGTCGGCACTTTTCACTTCGACCGTCTTCTCGATCAGGCTGCCCCCAAATCGTTGCGGTGCTCTCTAGGGTTTCGAATCGCCTCAAAACCTCACAACCCGATTCGCAGCCAGCGAGCGAGCGAGCTAGAAATCCGACGCCATGGGAGGTAAGTGCCCGCACAGGAAGGTGAAGAAGAGACGCCTCTCCCACAAAACCGCTCGTCGCACCAAGTTCCTCCTCAAAGATATCCTTTTTCTTCTTCTTCTTCTTCTTCTTCTTCTTCTTCTTGTTCCACCTGGCTCGAGTTTCGCGCCTTTATCTCGTCCATCGCCGCGCGATTTCGCGGTCGTGTGGATGGCTGTAGTTCTTTCCTTGACTCCGGTCGAGTTCCCGCACGCGACGACGCGGTGTATGAGGAGCTGAAGAAGCCGGACGAGCAGCGGCGGCCGTTGCCCGTCGACGAGGATCTCCCCGGGATGGGCCAGTACTATTGCTTCCACTGCGAGTGGGTGCTCGTGTCTGTGTTTTTTTTTTGTTTTTATTTTTGGAGAGAAAAGTTTCATTCTTTGGATTAGTTTCGGATACCATTTGATGCAGCTTGCTAGATTCATGAGAGTAGCTTCTAAGAACCTTTGAACATGTATTAGGCTTCGAGTTTTTGCTGTCAAAAGCGTGAAATAGCTTTAAACTTGTATTAGATTAGCTTACGTCGGTCCACCAACGGTCGAAACCTGTTTTGCGATTTTGCCATAATCTTTGTTGTTAATTATGCGCAGAGTATTGGATCGAGGTTTTTTTACTTGAGAAAATAAATCAAATTGGGGACTTTATCGGTTTCTTTGCTTGATTGCAGCCGATATTTTCCGAATGTCGCCACGAGGGACGAGCATTTCAAGACCAAGCGCCACAAGAAACGGTTCGTAGAGCTGATCGCTCGATTTTGCTACCGCTTTTGTAGATATTGTTGCATTTGCTTGTAGAAGATTCCTAATTTGCTCAGATGCCGATTGATTGTGCTAGTGAGACGATTGCTGGGTCAGCCCTATCCTTGCCGCAGTCAACCAGTGGCATACCAAGATAGTTGTTGTGTAGGATCGCCCAGAAAAAAAAAAAGAAAGATTACTATGATACTGCAATCCACCATTTTGCAACTCTCTGCTTCTGTATTTAGGACTTGAGATATGTTGGATCACTGTTTCATTTTCATGCCTGTTGGTTCTAGAATATGTGGAACTTCATCGCTTCTGTCTAAGATTTACGTAGTTCCTTCAGTCTTTTGAGGCTTAAATTTTGGACTTTTCTCTTTGTTATATAAAATTACATACATTTTAACTCCAAAAGAGAGAAATGAAGCTTAGTACATGCATTAAAGAAGGTCACGGTTCAAGTATTAGAACACATAATTTCTAGAATTCATTTACCAGTATTAATGGGTTAGCACATAGACCATAGAACAGGGGGAAAAAAGCAATACGAGTGTGGAAATGAAGAAATAAGAACTTTCATTTACCAAACAGGGATAAAGAAAGACAAAAAGAAAACAAGAGTATTACGAAGGAGGAGGAAAGATAATACAATTAAATATAGATGCCAATACTGCCAACCGTAAGAAGATTGAAGAAAATAAAACATTATGGATGTGTTCATCGTGTGGTTGATTAACAACAGCTCATTCGTGGAGTGAAGAAAGGGGAAATAAAGAAAAAGTAGGAGAAAAATAGAAAGCAGAAGGAGATGGCATTTTGTCATCATGCTGAAGTAGAAGATGGTGTCTTTGGAAAGATGTCAATTGCCATAGCCGAAGATCTTTTCTGCTTCATGCTTCTTCTTCAGAGTTTAGCCTCACCAGTAAGGAATATCTGTCAGTGCCCTGTGTTCTAGTCTTTCAAATGGGTCTTGGGCTGGGAGGAATGTGACCCAGTTTTGTCTTTCTCGTGGCTGAAACATTCCTGAGCAAGTATGGATCTCTAGGATCATTTGTGGGATCATGGATCCCATTAAATCCGACGATCTGCATCGCGGTCGTGATCCTGACAGCGAGCGATTTTTCTCACGTTCATGCATTTTGGTCTTATGATCTGGATTGTGATCCTAACAACCGGGCTATGGACAGTAGATAACTGGTTTAGTGTATTATCCATGCGTTAATGTAGCTTCTCCGGTTGAGATTCTTTTTGGTTATTCTTTGTCTCGTATCATCTGGATGGTGTAACCTTCATTTGTTTCTAATTTTATCTACAGCTTTTACTTTTAATACGCTGGATAAAATGCACAATCCTTTCCACTCCTCTCATGTAATTAAATTAGTGGATGCATAGTTCTGTTTCTTTGTTGTCTTATTTGTAGCTTGAAGTCTGGTGTATTATTGAATGCTTTTGACAACTATTGTGACACGCAGTGTGAAGCAAATGATGGGTCCTGCGCCACATACTCAGCTTGATGCTGACTTAGCTGCAGGGATGGGCATGCCTGATAATGGTCCAAAGCTTATGTCAATGTGAGCTATCTGTTTTTGCGCCCATATGGATTGGACCAGCCTTTTTGGTGCAGCAAGGATTATCTTCTTAAATTCTCTTGTTAGTTGGCTGATGAGTGTATATGCAGCTAGTGCTTTGATATGGGAGTCTTTGTAGTTGCATTTGCTTGAGGAATGAGCAATCGAGCATATTTACTAGACCTATATGCAGCTAGTGCTTTGATATGGGAGTCTTTGTAGTTGCATTTGCTTGAGGAACGAGCAATCGAGCATATTTACTAGACCTATCTGACTGGTGGTATCTGATAAAAGGTGATCTCCAGAAGGTTTTGGCTACTATGTATTAAGAAAGGGCAAGTGAGATTTTGTTTTTGAACAGAAAATGTGTGTTTTGTTGTGTTATGTGTCTGAAATTTGAGTGTCTTCTAATTTGAGCCACAAAGCACTGACTGGTGCAAATACAATTGATATTACACTTCTTTTTTTTTAGAATTTGAAGCGGCTTAATCTGCCTTCTCTTCTTCTTCTTCTAATTGCTGCTGTTGGGACTTATCTGTGGATGGACGGAAAGTATAATATTGGAGTTCAGCATAGATTATGTTCATTGTCTTTGAGAAGAGGTTAGGAGTTTGAATAGATGCTAATCTGTTTATTCATCTCTGAGGTAGAATAGTTTTCTCACCATTACCGGTTTCCCCGGCTTCGATATATTTCTCTTTTATGGATTGGATAAGATAAGTCCCTTTTACCTTCTTGGAGTATATGCAAGGTTAGGTTTAAGGTCCCAACTCTTCAAAATGGAACTACTTGGCATCTCTTTAGTTATATACAGTGGACATTTCTTCTTCAAAAAAAGTTGCTGTCTGTCTTTGTAGTACCCCTAGTTTGGTGAATTTATGGGTACCTTAATTCTCGTTAGTAAATGTGTGGCTGGAAACACCTGTCCAGTGTTACCTGACAATGAGTGTGATCTTTGGTTCGGATATCGTCGAGCTCATTTTTCGACATGGTAGGGTTCATAGATCATGTAGGTGCCACCCAACAGATTGGTGTTTAGACTGTTTTTGTGTTGGATCAATCTCGTGGAGCTTTGAAATTTGTGCTACTTACATGGCGGAAGTCTTACATTTAGAACTTGATGCGATTGTGCACATGGGGTGGATCATCGGTTTCTGGTTTTGCATCTCCTGTCCTTGTGCTCAACATCTTGTGTAATAATCATGGTGATTCTGTAAGTGACCAGCTCAAACCCTTAGAAGATATGCTGTAAAAAATTTAGTTTCTCACTTTGGAGTTTGGACATCAATGAGATGTTTGATATGTACATTTGGACATATGTCTGGAGCTCTTATCCTAAGTGTCTTGGAGAAAACAATATATTTGGTTTGGAGAAGTTGGTTTGTGCTTATGGAGCCTTGTACATCATGTGCTAGGTGCTTCTCGAGCACGAGATTCCCATCCACTCTAGTGTCAATTATTGGGTTCAACTATCGTTGCAGATTTTCCTCGAATGATCGCACTTGCTATGTGGTGATTGACTTAGGTGGTGGGCCAGAAAGCTGTGATTTAAAGTATCTAAATATCTTGCCATGTACTGGCTTAATTACAACATTTACTGAAGGTTCAAAGCCATAATTAGCAAATGAGCAACCAGCGCCTTTCGGACGAGGAGGTCCTATTTAAGGGTAACTACGACAATCACTCAGTTTTGTCCATTAATCTACTTCTCAAGTTTCGTGGCAAAGTAGAACTCAGAAAGCCGTGGCATTGGCATTCTCAGGTGAAGTCATCCTAATGTCTTCGATTCAGTCATCCTAATGTGTTTGATTCGGTGTTTGATGGGAGAATAGAATTGTGCATTGCGATTGAAACTATCGGAATGTGTGCCTCGCGGGTAAATATGACCGTTCATTTTTTTGGTGCTCATATGAACCCTACATGATGAAGGATTTTGATCTGGACCAAGTCGATCAAAAAAGCACGAAGTCGCCAGTTCTTTTTGCTGTCAGTGGGTGATTCCACCTTTAAATGGTAGAGTAAGGCCTGTGTGATAGTGATTACATGGACCAATTGTCACGCCGCGTCTTTTCGGGCACGCTAATGAGGTACTTCCATTTGTCACGAATGGGGAAGCTGTCCCCAAACGGGCTACTAAGATCCGATACGGATATTTCGCCCAGACGTCCCACAGACGTCCCATCACTAGACAAATGGGGAGTCTCTCCCCGACCATACCTTACATGACAACGAATTGTGATTTTTTTTATCATTCTATTCAATTTAGGTTTTTTATTTGGAGTCACCACTACTCATTATTGGTAGGTTAACTAGAAACCTAATCAGGGTACAGGAATACCACGATTCTACAAACTAGAGATTCTAAATACGGGGACTTGGTTACGCTAATGATCTCGAATCGTGATCTCTAACATCCTTTCGGTACCTAAAACGATATGATATGTCTAACATGTCACACGAGTTTTCAAGGTCTATCCACTAATTATAACCATTCTAAACATGAGAACTCAATCAATTAATATAAGCAACACAATCAATTGCAATCAAACAAAAAAAAATCCTAATTTGGGTCTCTAAAATGAAAATCAATTCAAAACATCCAAACCCTAGTAAAGCCTTAAAGGCTTATTCATTCAACGATGTGTGCTGTTTTTAGGATTTAGGTTTTTTTTAGGGGTAAAAACCCCTAAACTAAGGATTTTCTAAAAATGCCATTTAGGAATCTCTAAAAAATCTAATTTCACTTGCAAAGGTTGGCCACAATGTTTTTGGGTTTTTTGTGAATTTTTGAAATTTTTTGGTTTTTGATTTTTGATTTTTTTTTGAAAAATAATTTTCTGAGAATTATCTTTTCCAAGAGTTGATTTTTATTATATATTTTTAATTTTTTTAAATTTTTTATGGATTTTTGAATTTTCTAATTTTTTGTATTTTTCAAAATTTTTCACATTTTTTATTTGTTTTTCTGGTCCTTTTGAATTTTTATAGAATTTTTTTTTCTGATTTTGATTTTTTTGATTTTTTTAATTTCTAAAAAAATTCCAAATTTTTATATTTTTATATTTTTAGAGTTTTTCTGAATTTCTAAAATTTTCTCATTTTTTTTTAGATTTTTTTAAAATTTTCCGCCGGGGGATTGAACCGGATCGGACTGGTTTGGGCCGGTCTGATTGGATCGAACAGGCCGGCACCGGCGCCGGCCAGCGCCCCGATGAGCACGGCGCCGTTTCTGGCGTTGTTCTCCTCGGCATTTCGCCGAACACTTGGTGGGCATGCTTCTGGGTTTATTATTTTCGAGGCCGCGACTTTGAATCAAGTTCCGGCGACCTTCCGACGACCTTTTAGACTGATTTTTGATTATGTACTGAGCTTATGTTATCCTTTATCGACCTCAATTCACCGATTTGCCGCTCGACCACCACTGGCCGGCGAAAAATGACCTCAAAGGTCGTAACCTAAAACTGAAACCAGACAAACTTTTCTAGCTTTCAGATCATCACACGGTACGCCCTAGCTGTTTCTAATGATCAAGACAACAATTAGAACAATCAAGGAGTAGGATCAACTAACTTGGAACGGCCATTGGCCATCGAGAAGCATTCCGGCGAAGCTCGAGGTTTCCAGCGAGGATTGTTAATGGTCAGCCAACTCGGTTTAGTGCATTTTCAATCCAAATTTTGCAATCGAACAATGAAAAATATGCTTAGAAGCTCATCATATACATCAACAAGCTCAAATTGCAAGAAAAATCACACAAACAACAACATTAAACCCAAACATGCTTTCTGGAATTTCATTGAAACCGTGATAGGGATCGAAGTTTACCTGCTTTGACGAAGGATCAAACGAAGTTTTCGAGACAAATGGTGGTGGTAGAGCTCTTTTCTGTCACCTGAACTTCAATACGGTAGCTTCTACTTCGCCAGGATAGCTTTGGACATGCCAGCCGAATTGGATTTTGAGGCCACGACGATCAGCGCTGTAACAGGTCCTCCGGTGAGGAAACCCATCGTTGGGAGTGATTTGCCGGCGTTTTTCCAGTCGGAAAAGCGCCGATCACTCGGTCCTGGAGGTCTCCACTCATCCTCAAGGACGATCTGTCTCTTTTTTTGCTCTAATTCTCTCTCTCTCTCTCTCTCTCTCTCTCTCTCTCTCTCTCTCTCTGAAAAATCGTTGAATACCTTCCTTGCGTTTGATAATGTTTTTGCTCCTTTTTGTAACTTGATTTCCCGCTCAATGTTGGTTATCACTGACCTCTGAATCGGTTGTAACGAATCTCCGACGCCAGTTGGAGATTCTCCAGTTGGAATTGGAGTTTAACACGTGCTATATTGATCGGATTAAGTCAATGAAGTGGCGGGACCGGAGTAGATATTTTTCTGGGTTTATCGTGTCTTGGACGAGTCGGGCGAAAAAGGAGACTGACCCGGGTTGGGTCGAGTCGACCCGGGTTGGTCTAAATTATAAATTAAGCTCGATTTTGACCTAATTTTTTTAGATTTAACCCCAAAATTGAATTCTTCATCACATTTTTTACCCAAATATGTGATTTGCCCTAATTTTATCACAATCAAACCCAAAAATTTCAAACTCGGATCATTAGGGTTTTTGTTCAATTCAATATCCATATGACCTGATTGGGCAAAATTGGCGCCAAAATTGGATTACCCATACCTGATTAACCTTATAAATGATTGTCTCAGGGTTCGAAAATTTCTAGTTGGTTATGACCCCCAATTTGGGTTAAAAATCCTTAATTTTCAATCGAATTTTGGGACTTTTCGATTTATTTTATAAATTGTGCAATTGGACTGACCATTATGCAATTTGAGGTCCCAGAATCATTTGTTGTGAAGACACTACAGCTGAAAAATGACTAGAAATGAATTAATTGAGTTTTTTATTCAATTTGGACTTGTTTTTACCCAATTTTGGCAAAAACACATTCCCAATTAAGATTCCATTTGCTATTTTTCTTGATTTTCACCCCTATTTTGATCAAAAGAAATTAAGGAAAAATCAAGAAAATTCTAAAAAATTATTTTTGGTTTAGAAATAGGTTCCTAAGCTTGGCCAAGGTTCCTAATTCTAATTTTGTGATTTTTTTGAGATAATCTAAAAAACGAGCTAAAAATCAAGTGTCAACAGTTGCCCTTCTTTGAGAATGAGCTCGTTAGAGGTTGATCTAAAAAACACGGTGACACCTGAACTTTTAGTTGACTTTATGGACAGAATAAATGGAAATTTCACAACAACTGACTAGAAATCTTGCTTGAAATTCATGGTCCAACCCAACTTTTCCTCTTTTGAATTAATTTGAGAGGTTTCTAATGATTAAGGGCGTAGAGAAACTTACCTGTTTGCAAGTAGTTTCCTTGTTGATTATCTCCAAAGTGTGAATTGATGGTAGTGATGGTGATGATTATGATGAATTGATCTATGATCTCGTGGTTTAAGGATATATCTAA